CCAAAAAAACGAAAAAAAAACCTCCCAACACCGCTTGCAATTAGTTTTCCGGATTTAAAGAACTAATTTCAAAAAAATTGGAGATCATAAAAAACCGGCGTATAATAATAAAAATAATAATGCTCCGGTACTACACAGCGTTGCGACTCTTCTAATAATAAATAGAACTATTGACGCCGCATCAGCAATCGTTGCTCGTCGGGACCCATTCACAGTATCAACAGGTGAAGGAAAGGATCCGCCGCTGCAGACAGACTAGAACCATGTTTTTAACTTTTTTTTTTTTTTTCAGTATGATTATTACACAGTTTTACTATTATTATTATTATTATTATTTTAACCTTCTTTCTCCTCATTTCTTTTGGAAAGTAAGATTACATACTTCGTGGTCTAATCTGAGTCTGAACGCGCGGCTGATCCATTTGGAAAGATCCAGCCGATCCAGTTCGATCGTCTGATTTGAATCATGGTGGATTCTTTCTTCATAGTATATATATACCCGCTGTCCAGATAATTAAAGTCGAGTGGGAATCAACGGCAGTGAAGGGATATTTATAGCATTCAGGTATTGTCATCGGACGGTACGGAGTATGCTGAGGTACTATAAAAAGATCCCTGTTGGGACACGAGGCTAAGTGGGGCACTGAGACGCAACTAGTCTTCTTGAGGCCTGGATAAATGTATCTCCTGATATGGCTCGAGCAAGCACACCCTAAAAAGAAGAGTCCAGCCACAAACCCCCCAGCCTTTTCTTTCAAGCCAATCAAGTTTCCGGGATCACATGGAGAACATTCCTGTATTACGCCTATCAATCATGCACGAATCCTGCATGATGATTATTTCCACTCACTCACTCACACCAACAGAACCCTTCTCTGTCACTCGCAGTTTGACTGAATGGCTGTGGTACCGCCGCCCCGTGATGATCACCGAATTATAATCCACTTTGTTCGTCCAGCCCCAGCACCAGCCAGGTCATGACCAGGACTAGTCTGTACTAATCATAAATATATTTGTTTCTCTTATAACAGGACTATGACTGTTTCTATGCTTCGGTTTTTGAGGTGGAGCAGCCGGTGTTGAAGACCCTTCCTTTAGCCGTTCAACAGAAACAGATCGTGGTGACCTGTAACTACGAGGCTCGCAGAAGGGGATTACGCAAGCTGCAACTGATCAAGGAGGCCAGGCAGATTTGTCCAGAGCTTGTCATCGTCCTCGGTGAGGATCTAACAAAATTCCGTGATGCGTCTAAGAGTCTCTACTTTTTCCTCCGTGCCTTCTGCTGGAGCGGGAAAGTGGAAAAATTGGGATTTGATGAGGTGGGTTGGTTTCTTATTTCACTCTTCGGTTGTTGTCGCGTCCCCACGGTTTGTGGATCTCTGAGCCTTATCTCTGATACTAGAACAACAGTTGTTTCTGGATGTCACAGACATGATTACATACAATGTGGATCTCTTGAATCGAAACGATCTAGAACACTCGTTCTTTCATCTCAACCGTCAGGATCCCACACTGGGGTTCGCATTTGATGCCACTGGGTTCCATGGTTCGACTTACCCTGCGGCTCCCAACGTAGCATCGGATTCTGCCTGGCCATCGGTTCCGGCGGGAAATGATTCTCACTCGCTACATATTAAGCTACTTGTTGCTTCCCATCTGGCAGCCTACCTACGTGGCCAACTGGAAGAACAAAAGGGCTACACTGCCACAGTAGGCATTTCGACCTCGAAAATCCTCGCCAAATTAGTGGGTAATACTTATAAGCCCAACAATCAGACAACCCTTCTACCGCCTTATACTGCGGCGGAGCAAGGCGCCCAGAGCAGTGTGCTTAACTTCCTCGACGCCCATGACATAAGAAAAATTCCTGGGATTGGATCTAAACTTTCTCAAAAACTAACGTCTTACCTCAGAAGTCCGGCCCAGTCAAATCTAAATCAGGCTGCTTCTGATACGGCGAGGGATGATACAGTCACTGTCCGAGACGTTCGTTTGTTTCCTAGGATGGGCCCGGTGCTTTTGGATAAGATCCTAGGCGGTCCAGGGTCCCCCAAAGGCATTGGTACGAAGGTATGGGACCTGATACATGGTGTAGACAATTCAGAGGTCCTTCAAGCTCGGGACCTACCGACCCAGATTAGCATTGAAGACTCCTATGGGTGTCTGAGCACCTTCGAAGAAGTTAGAAGAGAGCTGGTCTCCCTAACTGCTAGTTTAATACGTCGAATGCGAGCAGACCTGACTGAGGAGGAACCTGATGTCGCTGTAGCAGAACCGCGATCGAAAGGGTCACTTTCTCGAACAATACCCAATATGCGATGGATTGCTCGTCCAAGGAGTCTACGTTTGTCAACAAGGCCTCGGCCACCTCCTACATCCAACGGGGCACAAGCTCCCAGCTTCAACCGTATTTCACGCTCGGCGCCGCTCCCCCAGTATGTGTTTTGCCTTGATGCGAGTATTGACGCGCTGGCGGAACAACTGGTGCACGAACTTTTGACCTTGATGTTCCGGAAACTCCATCCCGAGAAGGCTGGCTGGAATATCCGTCTCTTGAACGTCGCCGTGACCAACATGATGGATGTAGCTGGGGAGCGTAAGCAGAGTAGTGGACGAGACATCGAGAAGATGTTCCAGAGGCAGGACAAGTTACGCAGACCAGACTTCCCCGTTCCAGTGACGGAGCGGTCATCACCAGAAACTGCTACGCAATACGTTAGGGATCCCAGCCTGTCATCCAACGATATTTCCAGTAGTTCTCAGATAATCGTGGGCTTGGATAGACATGCGTATAAAACCAGTGGTGATGCCTGGGAGGAAAGTGAGGAGGACGAGGACATGCCGTGTGTAGTGTGTACGAGTTGTGGAGCGCTGATTCCACATTTTGCACTTGTTGCGCATGAAGTGTATCATTCTGCACCGGACTAATACTAGTGAGACATCGATGAAATCCGATCTAGATCCGGAGTGGATGACGGATGTAGTATGCGATGTTCACTTATGGTCGCAAAAGCGAGCTGTACCATGGTTGTAGATCTCGGTCGTTTCCATGACTTGTCTCAGGGGCCGACCAGTGAGGATGGCTAGGGGTTTTTCTTTCCTTCCCCCTTCCCCCCACCCTCTTCATTTTTGGCAAAATCTTGATGCCTAATCAATCGTGACAGTGATGATGACTCTGTCTCAGTCGGAATAGGGCTGTTGTCTGGGCTGGTCCCTTAGAGTTTAGGCCCTGTTTCTCCAAAACACGTGACCTAGACAAAATTGTTTACTGTCTCGGAACGTTTTGATCCACTTGGTCCCTGGTTGAAGTTTCTCTGCGACAGCATTCGAGGTACTCTTGGGGAAGCGCTATCCAATGACTCTGTCTTGAAAATATCTTCATTTCCTCTGTCTTTCTGACAACATTAAAATCTCCTTTTATATACTACTGTCAGCACTAAAAGTTCCAGCCACGGTAAGCGCCATTCCATTCCCCCGCCGATCACAACCCTGAGGCTGTGGACAACCAATTGATCCGTCCACTAATCAGCTTAAGGGACCATCCCTAACCCACTCTCAGCCCAGTCTGCTGAACCCCGATTTTCTTTCATTCCTCCCGCATCGTGTTGACATTAAATCCGACTTCCGAGTCCCAGCTCATCTTTTGCCGGTTGATCTCCACGACAACCTCTCACAATTAATTCGTTCCCTTCCCCCTCTATCCGTTCTCTATTCCTCCTTCCATATCTTTTAGCTGTCCATCTCATTTCCATTTCTGTCTACATCCCCACGCTCGTTCGGTTTGTTGATCTCACTCACTACAGCAACACATCGGCGCATTCGCCAAGACTGCTGCGCCCCAGCCAAGCGTCTCGCCGTGGCGTCTCTAGTTGACCGATTGCTCGCTGCCTGGAAGGATCCCCCTATCATTCGCTTGCATATTGCGTGCTTGTACCGTTTGCCGTGAGGTGCGGAAGAGCGACTGCCGCCCAGAATCAACCAAGTCGCCTTGTTTATATCGAACTTGGTCAGGTGCATTGAAACGGCGGCCTCGCTTTTATTGTTGTTGCCTGATGCTTTTGATGTTACTCAGTCAAGGGGACCTCTAAACTTTTCCGCGCACTACCCTGCCTTACAGCCTATCTATCGGTCGGATTCGATCAATACTCTGGGTGTTAGCCACCAAGAGCGGCTATGAGGTTGTTTAAACAATCACTTTGGTTTGCTACCAGTGCAATCTCACTCCTTGCAGCTCACGCAGAAGGTTGGCTTGCATATATTTTCCTTTCCTAACTGCTCAGCTTATGCCAGTCTCTAACCTTGAAATATTGAACAGCTCGGTCGCAGGAGCCAAATGCTATTCAGCGTGTCTCGACTCTAGATCATCCTAAGATCCATACGTCCGCGCATCAAGTCGATCACCTTTCTCATTTCGATGTCACGTTCAACCTGCGTGACAAAAACCAACGAATAAAACTAGAATTAGAACCGAACCATGATATTCTAGCGGAAGACGCATATGTACAGTACCTAGACCGCCATGGAAACATTCAACGTGAAGAGCCAATCGAGCGACATGAACACAAGGTCTTCAAAGGCCGTGCGTTGGTTGGGAGGGGCAAAGGCATGTGGGATCCTGTAGGATGGGCCCGGATATACTTGAAAAATGATGGGTCACAGCCTCTATTTGAAGGAGTCTTCAGCGTCCACGACGATAAACATCATGTCGAGTTGAAATCAACGTACCTGCAAAACAAACGTCAGCAAGATGTGGGCATCCCAGACCGGAAAGGAGAATACATGGTCTTCTATCGAGATTCCGACATGATCCGGGAACTACATACCGACTTGAAGCGCTCATTCCCCGTTTCCTCGTCGTGCCAAGCCGACAAACTTAGCTTTAATGCCGACCCAAGTCACCCGATTCTCCAAGCCGAGGAGGACATGAGTCAATGGGGTGCGATGTCTCTAAATTCGCTGTTCGGACTTACCAAGCGGCAATCTGACACTGGGGGTGTGTCGGGCAACAGTGGTGGTGTGAGCTTGAAGTCGACCATTGGTGATACGTCTGGTTGCCCCGACACCAAGAAAGTCGCGTTGATCGGTATCGCTACGGACTGTGGCTTCACCGGTTCGTTTGATGACAAAGAAGCCGCCCAGAAATGGATCATAAATACTGTCAACAGCGCATCTAATGTCTACGAGAAATCCTTCAATATCTCCATCGGCCTACGCAACCTAACCATCACCGAAAAGGATTGCCCAGAAACTCCTCCCGCTTCAGCAGAGTGGAACATGCCGTGTTCCGAGGGGAATATCTCATCTCGACTGGATAAGTTCTCCAAGTGGCGTGGGCAGCAAAAAGATACCAATGCTTATTGGACCCTCATGAGCAACTGCCCCACAGGCAGCGAGGTTGGATTGGCATGGCTTGGGCAGTTGTGTAATGCAGATGTTGTATCAGATGCCGCGAACGCAGTCAGTGGTACCAACGTCGTTGTACGCTCTTCAGGTGGCGGATGGCAGATCTTTGCCCATGAATCGGGTCACACTTTCGGAGCGGTTCATGATTGTGATACCCAGACATGTGGGCAAAATCTTGAGGCGTCATCGCAGTGCTGTCCTTTGACTGCATCCTCCTGTGATGCAAGGGGGCAGTATATTATGAACCCGACCACGGGCACAGATATCACAGAGTTTTCCAAGTGTACAATCGGAAACATTTGCTCGGCCCTGGGTCGCAACAGCGTCAAGTCCAGTTGCCTTTCCGACAACCGGGGAGTCACCACCTATACTGGCCATCAATGTGGCAATGGCATTGTTGAGTCCGGAGAAGACTGCGACTGTGGCGGGGAAGAATCCTGCGGAGACAATAGCTGCTGTGATGCCAAAACGTGCAAGTTCAAAAGCGGCGCGGTTTGCGATGATGCCAATGACAGCTGCTGTTCAAAATGTCAATTCTCTTCTGCTGGAACCGTCTGTCGAGCCAGCCGTGGCGAATGCGATGAGGAAGAAACGTGCAGCGGCACTTCGAGTACTTGCCCTTCTGACTCTTTCAAGAAAGATGGAACGAAATGTGGTGATTCCTCGGCCGGTCTAACTTGCGCCAGTGGACAGTGTACTAGTCGAGATTACCAGTGTCGGTCCGTCATGGGTAGTTTGCTGCATAGCAACGAGACGTACGCTTGTTCTGCATATGGCTCGTCCTGTGAAGTGGTCTGCTCCTCTAACACATTTGGTCAATGCTACGGCGTCAACCAGAACTTCTTGGACGGCACCCCTTGTAGCGGTGGTGGCCATTGCAAGAACGGAAAATGCGACGGTTCTAGCGTCAAGGGCTGGATTGACGATCACAAGAACCTAGTCATTGGCGTTGCGTGTGGTGTGGGGGGGCTAATTGTGCTGTCAATCCTGTGGTGCTTGATCAACCGCTGTCGTCGGGCACGACCGACAGTAAAGCCCATGCCACCACCTGCCGGTCCATATGGACCCTGGGCTCGTCCTATGCAGCAACCGATCCCAATGAATCAGTGGCCCAATGGGCCGCCGCGTGGATATCAGGGGCTTGCAGACCCTCCGCCGCCATATCCGCCCCCAGCATATGGTAATCAAGCACCGCGATATGCTTGATTGGGTTATGTATGTTATATATACATTTACACTTCATCTGACACGAATTCTCATGACGAATCTGCGAACATTGCATCCTGGTGGCATTCTTTCTTTCAGTTCTCTTTTGGATCCGGCGTAAGTATAGTAATATGTGGCGGCACCTGCATGCTACAGGGAAGACTTCGGTGACATGTCTTGTTTGCTTTATACTATTTTTCCCATCCCCTACCGCTCTCTCTCGGTATTCAATGGTCTTGAGCTTTGGTGTTCTTTCCTTGTCATGTTTGCTATCGGGCTGGCTCATTAATGGTGCCCTTGTATAATTGAGACGCGCACTCCTTTGGTGCTGGGAGTGTGATAAATATTGATTGCTGTCACTTATGAGCCATCGTCATTAGAAGACGGAGCAACTGCACATCTACAGACACAAGTTTATAATAGCACCAAGTTCTCAATTACAATGTCCGACACCAATACACAGTAAATCAAGACTCAATGGAATCGTATATAATTCATCCAAAGGGGGGAATCCCACAACCGATAGGCGCCCATCCAATGCCCAAGGGAAACATCCAGCAAATTCGAAATGCTGCCAAGAAAAAGAAAAAGTAAAACGGACAATGCAGAACCAAAGTACAGAATGATACTATCAGTTCACACAAACCAGTCACTCTCAGGACATAGGAAGTTATTGCCCGCGTACGCAACATAGGTAAGTTTTAGTCAATCCCCAGGATCGAGCCACAGAGCCAAGCCCAACAAGTAAAAGAGAATCTCGCAACAGAGAACATTACACAGCCAAAAAACAATTTACACCATAAACAAAAAGAGAAGGGACAAAAAAAGAAAAGGAAAGGAAAGGAGAAAGAGAAACGTAATCACTGCCAACATATACTCACAAACGCCTCCCGGGTGACACCACCCACACCCTCCAGATCAAACTCCTCAATCATAGCCCTGAGTTCCTCTTCCTCGAGGCCTGTTTCGCCCAACTCCCGCGCAACCCGCCTCAGATCTTCCAGATCGATGTACCCCTTGCCGCCCTCATCGAAGAGCTCGAACGCTCGCAGAATCTCATCCCGGGGGTCGCGCTCCAGGATCTTCAGCGCCGTGACGGCCTGAAAGGCAGAGAGGGGCATGAGCAAATTGGATGGGTGCTGGGGATTCGTGGCGGGAGCGGTCTTGGCCTGTTGTTGTTGTTGTTGGGCTGAGGATTGCTGCTGGACTTGGGGACGGGGTACGCCATAAGTCGTGAGAAGGGAGATGAGTTCTTGCTTAGGGAGAGTAAAGCCTAAGGCGCGGAAAGCGACGCGGAGTTCATGGTAGTCTAGATGTTGGTCGCGGTCGAGGTCGAAGAGGGTGAACTGTTGGGTTGGGGAGAAGTGTGTTTATGTTAGCTTCCTTGCTAAACCTTTTGTTTTTTTTCTTGCGGGGATGTAAGAAGGGGGTCATACAGCTTCATTGATCTCTTCCCGTTGTTCCTCAGTTAATCGACTCAGAGGATTCGAGTCCTGTGAAGGGCCGTGGGTCTGCGAATGGACTGGTGGCTGTGGCGCCTGTTGCGAGGATCTCGCTGCGTCGGCTCCTTGGTCGCCTGATCCTGGAGCCCCTAGTCGTTGACGGGAGAAGGTGGACGCGGCGAAGGGGGTTGGATTGGCGTTCATAGACCGGTCAGGTAGCCTTGTGGAGGCGAATGAGCGCGAGCCAAACCCTTGCGACGCCATGGTGGTCGTTGTCGTGGTTGGTGGTTATGAGGGAGATCCCGCGGTGGGTGATCGCCGGTGGAAAAGCACCGGGATGCGATCAACTTGTCAGAAGGGTGGATGTTCTGTAAAATGAGAGTAGGGAGTGACAATGGTTTTTGTTGTAGTGAATTAAGCCATAGAATTGTTTTGAGCCGTGTGGTTGTTGTGGGGATGGTTGGAAGGATTGGATTTAATTGCCTAACTAACTGTCAGGTTGTCGGGCTGCGGAGACGCGACCAAGTCAAAAAAGGTGACGCGGAGTAAATTAAATCATCTTTTGTTTACAGTTACTTCTTACATTTATTGGAAATTTTACATTAACGCATTTAGATCTTACACCCACTGATTTGTTTACAGTCGAACAGAAGATTGTATATCTACATTCCACACTTTACATCTTAAGAGTTGTTTATCATCAGGTTCAGTTAGCCCACACCAGATCCATACTCGTTGCCTGGGAGTCCCCCAAAAGAAAGAAAAATAAGTCCGAAACGCTCTGCCACTCGTGAAGCAATGGTAGTATTATACTCTATCGCGACTGTCAAGTCGCAGTCTGAAGATGCATTCATATTCTTCTGTAAGTGTCGGTCGAGCTTGTAGTTTCGTCAGTGCTGAGTTCGCCAAAATCGTTCATTCGTTTGTCTATCAATGGGCTTGACATTGAATGAATTTCCAGCCATCCTAGTTACCACCATAGAAAACTCATCGTGCGGGACAGTCGAGCCTTCAATTGGAGCGGCTTTGTAGTCTGACAGCCAACGTAGGTATCTGGCTTATAAGGGTTGAATGGATCTCATCCCCCAACACCAACCTCCACAATTGAAAATGCTCAGCTGCCGCACTCATGTGCGTAACGCGTCAGCTTGGGGGACAAGGTAGGTGATTTAGTCCATAAGGGCGTTCTGCTCAACGCTGACCATTGAGGTCCGGGTCAACCTGACGACCAAGATCGAGATCCTCAAGGAATTTCCGGCCTTGAAGTCTCTCAGGCAAGTATTCTTGTGCTACCTCGCCATTCAAATAGTTCGGATTGTACTTGTACTCCTTCCCATAACCTAGTTCCTTCATTAATCGAGTGGGGGCATTCCGCAGATGAATTGGAATCGGCAGCCCGGCAATGCCTGGTTCTGCCAATGCCGCGAACGCATTGTTGAGACCTCTGTATGACCGGGTACTCTTCTTTGCTAACGCCATAGCCACGGTCGCATGTGCCAGGTTGATCCGCGCCTCTGGGAGTCCGATCTTCTCCACGGCCGCATGGGTAGAAATAGCCAGAGTGAGCATGCTGTTATCTGCCAGACCAATGTCTTCCGATGCCACTACGATTAGACGGCGAGCAATGTACAATGGGTCTTCTCCCGACTGAATCATGCGGGCGAGGTAATACAGAGCGGCATCCGGATCGCTGCCCCGGAGGGACTTGTGAAAGGCGGAAATGGTATCATAATGTTGGTCACCCGCACGATCGTAGACAAGAGTTTTAGTCAAAGACCGCTTTAACTCTTCCTTAGTGATCCCCGGGCGTTTGGATAGATCCATAGCGAGTTCCAGAAGATTAAGGGAGGTCCGAGCATCCCCGTCAGAGAACTTTGCGAGGTAGTTGATCAACTCGTCATCTACCAGGGCAGAAGGCGAATACTTTGGTCCCTCCTCCCGCAAAGCTCGGTCCAATATAGATTTGACATCTTCATCCGTAAGCTTTGCCAGGGTGAAAGTCCTACATCTGGAGAGCAGTGCATTCTGCACTTTGAAGGAAGGATTTTCCGTTGTAGCACCGATAAGAGTAACTTGCCCACTTTCTACCGGGCCCAAGAAGACATCTTGCTGTGATTTAGAGAAGCGGTGGATTTCGTCACAGAAGATTATTGTCTTTCTTCCCGTGAGGCTAAGTTCGCTCTTGGCGTCAGAGAATATTTTCTTGCACTCTGCGACCCCAGTGCTGGTACTGTTGATCTCCACAAATCTGCTCCCAACCATCGAAGCGATAACCCTCGCAATCGTTGTTTTACCAGTTCCGGGACCACCCCATAATATCATGCTTGGGACCCGGTCATTTTCAATGAGCCCGCGAAGAACGCCGTGGGGGCCGACGAGGTCTTGACCGCAGACATCATCAAGAGTCCGAGGCCGCATGCGCTCTGCTAACGGCGCTGCCTTCTGCAATGCGCTCACTTTTGGCCTCTTCACAGATTGCTCTGCATCGTTTCTAGTCTTCTTGTTGCCATCTGTTACTATTTCCGCTTCAGGTGCCGAGGGTCTCTTGCGGGTAATACTTTGTGAAGGCGAGGAGTCGGGATGCGAGTTGGGCTGGGCGGATGCTTTCCGAGCAGAGGTAGGTTGGAAAAAGCTGGGGACCTGTGCCTTCTGAGAGGAAGTCAGGTCCCCAGTGCTGGACGTTGGTTCATCGATAAAGTTTTGACAATTGGAATCAATATGGTCGTTGATTTTCAGAGATGATACAGAGTTTCCGCATATTGGACAAGACACCATAGCGCTTGAATCATCGAGACACCGGAAATCAGGTTGTTGGGAGTCAGAGCAACCCGATCATATTTAATTAATCAACCTGTCAATCAAACAATGGCCAGACGCGTGATCTCACGCGTTTTCCCCAATTAATTGATTAGAGTGGGGTTTCGTGTCAATGAGTAATCGGGGAGCTATGCCTGGATGCCTGAGGATGATGATGGAGCAGCAAGCACGCAATTTGCGCCCTAGTACTCCGTACTGCGTACGCCATAAGGAGTAGCCTTAGGCACCCTATCATTTTGGCCGATTGGAGTCAACTATTCCTGCGACTGCTACGGATCATTAAATCACTTTCTCCCCCGCACCGTTTCAACCCTCGATCTTCCCTTCACCTATGTTTTCGGGCTATCGGACTTCTATCTCTACAGCAATCGCGAGATTCAAGACTCCAACACAACAACCCTTGTTCTCGAGACATACGCCACCCCGCTTTCTCGATCCCCGCGCTAGAGCAATGTCCGCTACCACCTCTCGTGCGGACCCTTTTCGCCCGGCAAAACGGGTCGCTGGCCAGAGACAAGATGTTTGGTATGGGGATAAACGTTGGGACTGAACTGTTGCTGTATTGTCGGTCTAATTGGCTTTCAGGTCAATCGTCAATGAAGCCGCTGCGGCCTCCCCTGTTCAGCCTATCGTGAACATGGGCCAGGGATTCTTGTAAGTACGATTTTTATGATCCGGGCAGTGACCTGGCTGGCTAATGTTATACCCTCTACCAGTGGCTACAACCCTCCTCAGTTTGCGATTGATGCCGCAAAGGAGGCTCTCGACAAAGTTGAATGTAACCAGTACTCCCCGACCAAGGTACGAAAATGATCGAAGGGCGCTGATACACCCAAACACCGGCTCATTTCGGCACAGGGTCGTCCTCGCCTCAAGCAAGCTATTGCGGATGCGTATTCTCCATCCTTCGGCCGAAAGCTCAACCCGGACACCGAGGTTACGATCACCACAGGTGCAAATGAAGGTAATAGCCGTCATGGTGTGATGCGGCTTGGGGTTTACCTGACTGACAATTCAAAGGGATGCTAAGTGCTTTTATGGGCTTCATTGAACCTGGCGATGAGGTTATCATCTTTGAACCTTTCTTTGACCAGTGAGTGCGCTACTGTATAGCAACTTGCGTATGCCTGACACCCAAGAACAGATACATCAGCAACATCGAAATGCCCGGAGGTACCATTCGATATGTCCCCCTTCACCCTCCCAAGGATGGAGCTACAAGGACTTCGCCAGCTTCGGAATGGTCTATAGACTTCGAAGAGCTGGAGAAGACTATTAATCCCAAGACTAGAATGATTGTAAGCGAGTATTCTTGACCCTCCTCGATACATTTCTCCATCTAACTCATTAGGTTTTGAACTCGCCGTGAGCATTACTGCCCCTAGTGACCATGCCTTAGCAAACTACTAATGGCCACAACAGCCACAACCCTGTAGGAAAGGTTTTCTCTCGTGATGAGCTTGAGAAAATCGGCGAGCTCTGTATCAAGCACAATCTCATCATTCTTTCTGACGAGGTCTACGACCGTCTCTACTATGTTCCTTTTACCAGGATCGCTACATTGTCGCCTGAGCTTTACGAGCGCACTCTCACGGTGGGTTCGGCTGGGAAGGCCTTCTACGCTACTGGCTGGCGGGTTGGTTACCTCATTGGCCCTGAGCATCTGATCAAGTACGTGGCTGGCGCACACACTCGAATCTGCTACAGTAGCGTGTCTCCCCTTCAAGAAGCTGCAGCTGTTGCGTTTGAGCAAGCCGACAAGGCTGGCTTCTGGGATGAGAGCCGCACCGAAATGAAGAAGAAGATGGAGCGCTTCTGTGAGGTATTTGACGAACTTAACATTCCGGTATGTTCTAGTGATATAAAAATCTCGAGCCATAAACTATTTTGAATGATCCCTAACAAATGGCACTAGTACTCTGACCCCGAGGGTGGCTACTTTGTTCTCGCAAACATGTCCTCAGTGAAGCTGCCGGAAGACTACCCGTTCCCTCCTCATGTTGCAAGCCGCCCCCGCGACTTCAAGCTTTGCTGGTTCCTCATTCATGAGGTTGGCGTTGCGGCCATTCCTCCAACCGAGTTCTATACTGACGCCAATGCCCACATCGCGGAGGATTATCTCCGGTTTGCCGTATGCAAGAACGATGATGTTTTGGAGACCGCCAAGGAGAGGCTGCGTGGTTTAAAGAAGTATATTATACAGTAAAGTTATGCTTAGTGCAAAAACTTTTTGTGGAGCCATAGAACAGAGAACCATAATGGCATGAGTTATCCCTGCTAGATTTACGGTGTTAGATTACATAGAGAATGTTAACAGGGAACACTGGATGAGGTGGTCACAATAGCTCTTTTTTTTTTCCTTTTTTTTTCCTTTTTCTTTTCTTTACTTTTTTTTTTTTTTTTTTCCCCTCGTTGATGTGGTTGGCATTTGTCCGACAGTCCCAAGTTCAAGGACTTGCATCAAGCAGTCCCTAAAACTTCTCTTCTATCCACTTCCTCGACTTCTAGATTATTAGTTGTTTCTTGACACTTCTGATGAATGATCAATAAAAGATCGATTGGAGAAGGATGGGAGAGATCACCAAAAATAAACCTGGCACAGGATGTCGGCTATTGCAGCTGCGTCTAGAGTCCCAGACTCTAGACTACGGCGGTGTGGCCCAAACCCTTTCGCTGGATGAAGAACTCCTGTTGGGTAGTTTTCGTGGGGGTGATATATGTGTGTATGTAAGGATGTAGTCAATCATCATTAATTCCCTCAATTTCCATATCCCCTGTCCCAGCACCATCCCATCCTGCGCCCCGGCGGAACTCTCTTCGATCTTCATCCGCGAGGTCGCTGAAGCCCTCTCCCCGCATACGCGCTTTGGCATCAAGTACATCAGGATGGGTGGTTCTTGCCGCTCGAAGAATCCAGTAACTGCCTTCCAAGTGATCAATGAGCTGATAATGGCCCTTCCCCCCAAGGGATCCAAGCAAACGACGGTATTCCGCTCGGCAGATAGCATCCTGGCAATTACGGCGGTTCCTTCCATCCCAATCCGTCACACAGGCGTGTCTCTCTCCGGTGATATGTGGCTGTATGGTCACGCAGAATTCTTGTTGAAATTGAAACTTGAGCGTGGCTTCAAGCTCTATGGGGGCAGTCTGTGATCGGAGTTTGTCTCGAATTAGCCGGAATAGAAAATCTACAAGTTCGGTAGCTTCGATTGTCACTGCAAGGAAATAGGTGATTAATAGGTATCAATGGTAGATCAAGGAAGTCGACGTACTGAAGAGGCATGTCGCTAGAACACGACGAAACCGGTCTTTCTCACTTGCGTCTTCGAACTTGATAGTATAGATGACTTGACTTGAACACCGCACCTCGACATTGCTCTCTGGGAAGCCGGCTTTCACCAGATCAGTCCAGTCTGAGAAGATGAAATAATCCGCCTCACGAACCTTTGCATTGAAATAAACGGCCTGACGATGACGTTCAGGTGTATCATAAGGATGTAGACAAGGAACCAGGGGTGGCCCATCTCTCACATCCCGGGGGATCGAACTCTCTCGGCAAGGATGTTCAAAAGTCATCCGTCCGCAGTATAGCCAATGATATTTTATGTCTTCCAGGAGGTGCTCTTTGCAGCAATAACGGATTTCCGAGAATGGCCCGCATCGAGGGCAGATGACGGTTGCACCATCCCATAAGTTACAACGCTTTTCACACCCTGCCTTCGCGCAGGGGAATCCATGACTATCGAGCTGCCAGAAAAATCCCTCTGGTTTCTGAGTGGATATGTACTTTTGTGCGGTTGTGGTACATCGACCTGGTCTCTCATGGCTCAAAGATGACGAGGGGTGTGCATGGCTGCCCTTCGTGTGGGAGATCACAACAGTTCTTGTCTCGGTGGAGACCTTCTGGTGGTGGTTCTTGGTTTCCGTGGCTTCGATCTCAGAGGATTCGGTCTGTGGCGTGCCCTGAGGTTCGGCGCTGGTCCAACCTGTGGAGGTAGATTTTGAGGACTTTGGTGTACATGTAAGGTGACTTTGAATCTCGCCAGATATGCTCCCTCGCTCAGCATGAGGAGAGGGCGGTTTTACATGTGGATAACCATGAAACATCTCACTTGTCACTTCTTGTATAGGAGGCAGCTTTTCTTTTGAAGAAGCCTTATTTTTGGGTGTAGGGTGACCACTGCGCGATGGCTGAGCACAGGTGGAAGATCCAGCGCGTGATACCTCCTCATCTTGTCCTGAATCGATCGAGGAAGCAGCCTTGGGACTTGTATCACACGTATCTCTCTCAGCCGGTGTATCTCCAGTGATACTCGGCCACTCTTCGATTGCGAGCGGGGTTAGATGTGCATGTGGTGCAGCGTTGTTCTCTGTTATGTCACCTTTTATCGCCGGATCTGTACATGAGCCTTGCCTTTTGTCTCTTCGATCCATTGTACCTAGAAGTACATCCCGGTAGGTCTGCTCACGAGGACCAGCACTCAATACACACCCCGTCGAGTAACCTTCGTGGCAATCGGTCGTATCCTTGTGTTCGACTTGCAATCTGTTCTCATGTTGAGTCGCAGTAGGGGCTGCGAAGTCCTTTGCCGGTGTAGTAGAGTTTGAATGTTCAGACTTGAGATTAGTTTCCTGACAGCATGAGGATAGGCTGGGCTCCGACAGATCCTGAAATCGAGTCGAATAAGACGGGCCATCACTAGGAGCCACCTTCTTGCTTAAGGGCTGCACATTCAGCACACGCACACTTGGACTAGCCGGGTTCAACGCGTGATTGTTGGGAGAGTCAGTGTTTCTAATCTCAAGAGGCACTCGCTTCTTAGGCTTCTTCTTGCTCTTTTTCTTCTTTTTCTTAGATGCCTGGACTGGCTCCATCTTGAAGGCAGATGTAATATTCGATTCAGCAAGGAGCTGGGGGGTGATTGACAAGCCGTTACTCTCGTTGGGGTAATATTGATACTGCTCGCTCGTTCGGCTTAGCAAATCTTCCTCAGACAATGCGTCCAACCGGGCCAGGCGCGCCTGCGTCCGAGCACGGAGAAAAGTAATAGCTTCTGCACGGATCTTCTTCTTCTTCTCCAAGGCCTCTTGATAGTTTACTTCTATTTTGTAGACTTCTGGTTAGCACTCCTGTATCCATACAGAGCCAGAGGGGTCAGAACAAAAAAGGAAAAATCAAGTTACAGTAAATAAACTGACCAGAACAAAGAACCATTTCGTCCTTAGGAGAAGAGTAGTCATAGCGGTAGGTTTCCTGGCTTGTGTTTGTTGTCACGTTCTTGTCAGAATCAGTGACAGTGAAGTCAAAAATCTCGGTCAGTTGCTGCACTTCCAGCACACACCCATCACTGAGCCTCACTTGGTCCAATTGCAGGCCTGCCTCTTCCTGAAGCCCACGTGAAGAGATTGCATCTTCTATTGAGCCTATGTCCCCTGGCAGTGATTCCTCTTCTAGAGATTGTTCTTGGTCTTCAATATCCATCTTACTGTCTGGATAAGCAAGCCGATCTGAAGAGCCTGGGGGTAATTCCATCTTGACAAGCTCTTCGTACTTCCTCAAATGGGGATCCAAAAAAGAGGGAAAACCAGCAGAGTAAATGCTTAAGAAGTTTTAGGTGATAGGTAACGTAACTCTAAAGAGAGGTGATTGAGTCCAGTTTTTAGGGCTGAGATCAATTGTATATCACAGAAGTACTCTATGGTAGTCTCAGAGACTGATGGAGGCCATAGTCGTCCCAATGGTTGTCTTTTACATCCCTTGTCCATGGCGACCGTATTGATGAACAGGTTCCGGAAGAGCCTGTATAGTTTCTGCTATTTTTGCTGCACTACTCATCCATGTCACATTTATTCAACAACAGTGGTGGCAAAAGGTGACTCTGGCATGGTCTATCTAGACTGCACATATGACTTTCTATGGTTTAACCCCTGCACTAACTCTTTTGTCCAGATTGGCCAGTGGAGAGTACCATGACATGCTCAACAAAATCAGTGAGAGGAGAAAAAAAGAAAATAAAATTAGATATGTTCAGAAACAGAGGCTTCTTGCTGACTGTCTCCTTGCTAGAGCAATCATATACGCCTCAGATATCTTTAGAACTAATGGATCCTGACCATGGTGTATCGACTTCTCTGTGACTGTAGCATATCATACAGAAGGATTTCTGAAGTACGCTTCGCCTAGCCTAAACTTAAGCTTGTCAAAAGTTGGGGTTTCTTTTTGTAGTTCTTTTGTAGTTCTCGACACGTAAGACTCCAGAGTGCCCGTCACGTGTGGCTGGATATATTTCTTTCTTTCCCCGCTCGCTTTCTCAAGTTTTCCATTCACGATCTCCCACTGTTCTCATATTTATTTTTAACAACTTCGACCAGCCCTAGAGTCTCATCTATGGCACCAGGCCTGTGCACAGAAATGGAGGGCGGCTAATTTGCATCCAGTTCGCATTTGAATACGCAGTTCAGTCTTCGGCACCCCAGCGCGAGATGGAACGAGAAGTGTTGCAAGGCAACAAACAAAGTCTTCATCTATGCCTGACCCATTGCTCCACATAATGGGGAGACTAAGTCTTTTACTAGAAGAAACATCTCGCATTGTTTGGCAACGGTTGACTGGGAATAAAGGATTGGTGGACAGGCCTGGGACTCTAAGCGCCGGCTTCGAGGGTACTAATCTTGGTTCTTGCCAGCGCTCTGCAGAAACCACTGAGAAGAGCCGCCCGCTAATCATGCACAAAGTGAAACAAACTTCTGCAGAATCTTCTGCTAATCCCGTGTCGGTAGACTTCTATTTTCATGCCTACGGATTATGAGTGGTCCGTGTAGCCATGTCCCTGGGTGGACATCGCTGTCTGTTAACGCCCAAAGACGGCTTTCCCCCCAGTCCATTCACTTTTTTGCTTTGCTTGTTTCGCAAAATTCCCAGGCGATCGCTTGACCTTTCAAGAATAATAAAGAGTGTGGGCCCCTTCTTTATTGTTGGACCCGTTATATTGAGCTATTGTCCTATTCTATGCAGAACACCAACACGTTTCCCTTGTCACTGCATCCATTCCTCTTCTACAATCGGCAGTATATACAACTTTGTGTGATGGCTCTCCTATAATCTGTCCCCTGTTCAACTGAAAAAGGTTGCTGCTGGCCGGCACTTACTCTTTGATTGATATACAACTACCTTTCGTTCCTGAATAATACAATCCCGCCCACGGACTTGTCAAAACCACTGCTCAAACGTATCTTGTCCTGCCTGTGCCATCCAGAAGACATCAGTCTCTTTCAGACCCCACCTCTATACTCTAATTCAGTCTGTCGATATGGTGTTTTCGAGGTCTGGACGATCTATTTTCCCGCTCCTCCCACCGTATGGCGCGCATGATCCAAATGGCGGCCCTGGACGTGCCGTACCACTGCACCCCGATGGTATTACACCTTATCTGGGATTGCGAGCCCGGTTATCACAAGTGTGGCTCAACCGTTGGACGATCTTGCTGCTCCTTGTCCTAGTCCGAGTTTTGATAGCGGCAGCTGGGATGCAGTCGGACATGGACGTAGCTAAGCGCGAAGCCCAATCTGCCTGCACTTCAGTGGAGACGATGGGGAGTTCGATGGCTTCAATGCCCCATTATCTGTCCCAGGGAGTGAATGAGCTCACGGCCTCTAGTGTTGAGGCAGCGGTTAACGGCCTCATATCTATGCTGTTGCTCACGATCACTGGAGTCGAAGCGCTGATAATCTTTTTTATCAAAGTGATGTATCAAACGTATCTCTGTTTATTCACGATGGTTGTCAGAGGCAGTACTCAAGCTGCGCTCGGCGTGATAGAAGATACCACCGAATTCTTGAACAAGACAGTCCAAACGGTTGGTGAGGACATCGGTAAGGCTGTCGAAACTTTTGAATCTGGCCTGAACAAATTTTTGAGTGGAATCAATAAAGTTGCGAGCGCTTTCGGTGGAGAAGTGCCAAAGCTTGACATCTCAAAGAGCGTGGACGAGTTGAAGGACATCCACCTCCCAGGATCAATCAACGACACTATCGACAAGATCAACAGTTCCATCCCAACGTTTGATGAGGTCGACAAATTTGTCACAGACGTCTTGAAGCTCCCTTTTGAAGAAGTTAAGAGCCTCATTAATGGGTCTTTGGGCAATTACACCTTCGACCGCTCAGCGTTACCTGTTCCTGCAAAGGAACAGCTGACCTTCTGTGACGAGAACAATGGGATCAATACATTCTTCAAGAAGGTTGCTGAAACCATCGTAGCTGCTCGCAAGATCTTTCTCGCTGTTCTGATCATCGCTGCAACTCTTGTTTGTGTTCCGGTAGCTTGGCAGGAGATACGTCGTTGGCGCACTATGAAAGAGCGCTCTCAGATTGTCCGAAAGGATGCGCATGATCCGATGGACGTTGTCTACATTGTTTCCCGCCCTCACACTGCAGGTGCAGGTATAAAAGCAGCAAGCAGGTTCAGCAATAGTCGCAGGCAAATATCGGTGCGGTGGGCCATTGCATACGCAACTTCACCGGCCGCTCTATTCGTCCTGTGCCTCGCCCTTGCGGGACTCTTCGCTTGCCTTTGCCAGTATTTGCTACTAAAGGCTGTTGAGAGGACAGTACCGGAACTAACTAGCGAAGTCGGCGAGTTTGCCGAGAAAGTGGTCACTTCTTTACAAAACACGTCCGCCGAATGGGCGAACGACACCAACGGAGTCATCGATGGCATGAGCAATGATATCAACAAGAACGTCCTCGGCTGGGTAAACACCAGTACAACAGCCGTGAACGATACTTTGAACGCCTTCGTCGACAAGACAACAGGAGTCCTCAACGACACGTTCGGAGGCACCATCCTGTATAGCCCCCTGCAGGACGTCTTCAATTGTTTGATCGGTCTCAAGGTGGCATCTGTCCAAAAAGGCCTTACCTGGGTCCATGACCATGCTCACGTTGACTTCCCACGTGTACCCAACGATGTTCTTTCAAAGGGTGCTGACAGCAGCATCAACAACAGTACAAGCGCATCCGACAGTTTCCTCGCCAACCCAGGCGACACGACGTCCGACAAAATCACGGAAGTTGTCACGCGTGTCCTCAACAAGATCAAAGAAGGCATCCGGATAGAAACCATAATATCGGCTTGCGTACTGGGCATATGGTTCATCAATTTTCTTTTCGGCCTCATCCGCGCTATGATCCTTTTCTGGGGCCGGGACAAAAACCGCGGCGAGGGTGGTGGCGCTCCCATAAACAACCCAGATGTGAACGGCTTCACCGAGGTCCCACTGACTGCTATTCCCAATACAAACGCCGCCTCGCAACCCGCTCCTCGGTATGAAGTCGCCCTGAATACCCCACCCGTCGTCGGTCATTTCCATGAGGATGAGAAGATGGGATACGCTGGCCAAAGGGCACTCAAGGTTGATGGGACGTCTGATCTGCGTGGAAGTAGCTATATTGAGTATGGGATCGAGAAACGTTGATACACGCAGTGGCTACGATTGTTGTACCAGCGACTTTGTCTTTCTTTTTTTTAATCTTTTCATTCTGTTAGATACAGTTCAAGTTGGCGTTGGATATACGGGTATATCCACAAGCGAAGTCGTGTCTTTCCTTTCTTATTTTATTTGAAGACAGTATAGATGCGCAGGCACTTGGCATAATTTCTCACTCTTCTTTGTCGATTACTAAATACATATTAAATGATACCTGGAGCCGTGTAGTTGTACGAATACCAAAATTTTTTAGACAGTGTAGATGCAGCAGACATAGGTATGCACCTTCTCACAGAACAGAACAGATACCATACATTCTATATAGCAGCGGATACAATTCGTGGAAGACTTTCTTTCTCATTCAATTTCATAGCCAAATCATGACGCTGTAGAATTTATTGGCAAATGATACAAATGGTTTAAAATGATTAGCAACATAGGAACGCTTAAATCTCAACAAAGAAGCTCTTCTCTCCCTCCTTAGGCAGGACTCTTGCCCGTTCGATAATGGGATCAGCGCAGCTGACCCGAATCCGTTCGGGGGTAGCTGGGCTTCGTAGACTGAGGACCTCGTGAACATTGTACTGCTTCCGTGCTGCTTTCAAAGCGTCGCGGATAGCAAAGAACACGGCACTTCCCATGAAAAGTGGTGGTTCACCGACACCACGAGATCGTTGGATTGTACGAAGATTTTCCCATTCGACATCCTTGAGAAGGCTAACGTTGAAAACTTGGGGAATGTCTCGAAACCCGGGAATCTTGTAGTTTCCGGGCCCCTTAGTAACAACCTGGCCTGAGGCACGATGCCAGAGGCTTTCCTCCGTCGTAAAGAGACCTTGACCTTGGATGAAGGCTCCCTCTATCTGTCCGTAGTCGATAGAGGGATTGATGGTGCGGCCGACATCCATCTTGATGTCTGCACGTAGCGGAGTCCAATCGCCGGTTAGTGTGTCAATCTCAACTTCGGCGGCTGTCACACCCTGTGTGAAGTAAAAAAACATTTGGCCTGTGTTCTCGCCCCAGACATAGCCGATATCTGGAGTAC